CTATTGGGAGGGTGCACCTATCCTTTGTGCCCAGATTTGTACCAAAGTTCTACCCCAACCCTTAACTTTCAGCCTTTTGTTAGACCTTGTATATAAAATGCCCCTTTTTGTATAGTCCTACTCTTGCTCACTGCAGGCTGAAGGCTTCTAATGTAAAGTTTTTCTTTCTGTCCAGGGAATGAGTCCAGATTCTTAGCTGAGCCTTGCAGAAAAATAAATATTTGAAGTCCTTCTAAGAAATGGATTGGGTTCAGTTTTACAAACTTGGTGCAGACTTGTTTTATATTCAACCTTAAAAATTCTTAGTAGGTTTATTGTATCAGCTATTTACCCAGTGCAGTTAACAACTACAAGTCTTAGTTAGTAAAATATCTAATTTCACATGCGTTTAAACAATGCACTAACTTAAAAGCCTTAAGAACATATTTTGTCTTTTTGTGCACAAAAGCTACATATAAAGGCTATTTTTACTATTAATCTATTTTTACTAGTGGAAACCTAAATTCCCATCTGTCACAGCATTGATTATATTTGAAGCTTGCTCACATGGGAGATTTGCCGTGGAAAAGTGCAGTAAGGCTTGGACAGTGAGTGGGATAATGAGAGAACCTTACAGCGGGGGTGAGAGATGGTGAGAAAGAAAACACATGTAAGAGAGAGACAGCAGTTGGTCGTGCGGAGGTGGTTCTGCCCCAGTGTGAGAAGAGCATGATTCAGTCAGATCAAAAGCAGCCTCTTAGAGGTAGGGGGGGTGGACCGACAGATGGTCAGTGGGTTAGCATCCTCTGGGTGAGCTGAATGCTGTGACAGAGTCCAGCTAAAGTCTTGGATACCGACAGCCAGCAGTGTAAATACCGTGTGTGGGCGACGAATGGAACAAAACTATTTCATCTTTATTATACAGTGTCCAAATCACTCGCAGCACAAAGATTCCTTAAATCATTTGTGTGTGTGCGTCCAATTGACCCTATTCCCAAAAGTGAGAATTACCCGAGTTTCGCCTGTATGTTCCGAGGAACACATCAACTTGCATTTATATAGCACACCTTTCACATGGAGTAGTGTCATGGAACACTTAGAAATTGATCAGTCAAGGGAGTACCAAAGGGCTATTTGCAGGAGATCAACAACAACAACAAATTCCATTTGCATAGCCCAATTCCAAGGTGCTGAGATCAGTTCTGGGTGTTTGGTCTGTCAGTTAAGTGAAGTTAGTTATCGTGTCGCATGACTAGGCTCAAGCATGCTCCTTCCCCAAAGTTGGTTGATATGGTCAAAATAATGAGCAGCCCTGGCACTGCCGATGTATGATAACGTAGGCAATAAATGGCCTGGGCTGCTAAGATGCCGGCCTGTTGCACTTTGTTCTCGAGCATTTTTCGCGCCAAAGAAGCTTGCATTGGATGAAAGATGACATGGGCACTGGTGCCAGGGCCCAGAATGTTGCCAAAATGCAACGACCTCAATGTCAACACGACTTTGAGTAGCCAAGTATGGTGGGAGGGAGGGATCGATGGTTTTGTGGTTCTGAAAAGGCTTCGCAATCTGAAAAGATCCGAGCTTTTGTCAGCTTCGCAGCTGTGCGGATTCAGGGTTTTTCTTTAGCGGCTGCACACTTTTGCGTTGCGGTAATAATGGCTTAGATGTTGGAGATTACATCAGGATTTGACGAGCTATTGTCCTGGGATTAAGCTGAGTGTTAATAAAATGGCACGTGTTAGAAAAATATTGCCGTTTGCCTCATTCAGTGGTGCAGCACAATACCTTGCGTTCATGTTCAAGTACATGTACAGGCTTGTAAGCTATATGCAACCCTTTAATTTCCCTCTGACCTGCTTCACAGCAGTGAACATTCCTACTTGACAGCTCGCTACTTGAAATAGAATCAAGCGGGGTGGGGTAAGGAGTTGGATGAGGGACAGGGAAAGAGCCTTGCTAATTGTCTGGTGTCTTTATTTTGCTTGTGTTTGCTCATCTTATTCCAACGCTTCCCTTATTGTCATTTGCCACAACTACAACCCAAGAGAGTTAGGAGCTCTGGTCTGTCAAGCTGCTGACTCTAGTGCAATACTGCGGGAGGCGCTGCATTGTCAGAGGCACTGTCATCCTGTTCAGGTGGACATCAAAGGATCCATGGCACTATTTGAAAGGAAAACGGCATTTCTCCCGGTGTCCTGGCCCAAAATCCCCCTAATAAAATTGGTCACTCGCTCCATGGCTGTTTGTGGGACATATACTGTTTGTGGGACAGGAACATAGACTGTTTCCACTTCTTGGTGAGTCATTTACAAGGAGCCATAACTCTGAGATGGCCACTAATGGCAAAAAGAATTTAGGAGAAACTTTTTTTTAAACCTAATAATAAGAGTAACTTGCATGCTTCATATGGGTTCGTGCTTTGGTGCGCTTAACAATGTTAACAATGGAGGATTTGATGCCGAGCTGGCAGAGATAGGGATGGTCAGAGAAGATCATCTCCGGGTGCGATCTGAAGATGAGCAAGGAGAAGGAAAGGTGGAGGGGTTGAAGAGTTCCAGAAGTTTCTGACGTAGTGGTTGAAAGCATGAGGCTGGTAAGAATGTCAGATGTGCTGCCAGAGCCATGACTGAAGCAGAAGGAATCAGTGTGTTAAGAGGGAACAATGCATACATACATGAGAGGAGGGAGAGGGCATAAGGATGGGTGGGAGGTCACGTGGAACATAAGCAGTGGCACAGACTAGTTGGGCCAAATGGCCTGATTTAGTGCTGCAACAGTATGTGTAGTCCTGTGGCGTGCTCATAAAGGCCAGTAAGAACATAATGTCTTCCATCAACTGAGTGAAGCAGATGAGCGTTGCAGATACAACGTGAGTGATTGCACTAAGTTTTGGGAGGAATGTAAAGAATTTACTCCCAAGATGCACTTGAAGTCCTTGCCCCTGCGAGCACGAGTTGAGAGTTGTAACCTTTTTAGAATTCTGGGGGCAGCGGTGGTTAGTTCCACATTTCCTGTACAAAGACCTTCCTGTTAAAGTTTCAGTAAACCGTAACATTATGGGCTTTGCTTGACTGCAATTTACGGGTTGGACATGAATTCAGAACAAATTGTGTGGTTGTGAGGCTGAAGAACATGCTATGGTATGCGTCACAGGCTTGCTATTGTGCAGATTATATGTATAAAGCCACATGCCGTGTTATAGATGACCTTTTTCCCCCAGCGTCTCTGCTTGCAGTTACAATACAGTGACTGTTTACTTGTACTGTTTCACAGTAATCTTTCAGGATTGTATGGTTTGTTATTAGAGCGATCTTAAAGCCACCGGAAAGGATATGACCATGTTTTATGTTAGAAAGAGACAGCTGGATGTGGATTGTTAGTGGACTTGCATTGACTGAATCCCATTTAATGGAGTATTATGTACCTACTTTGCCTGGAGAGACATGAAAATACGCTACCAGCAACAAAATTAAGTTCGTAAAGCCCCTTTCACATCGGGAGGATGTCCCAAGGCGCTGAACAGTTGGGGCTCAGGACCCGAGCATGGGGGTGCAGGGTTGGGATGAGGGAGGACAGAGAGGAGGGCGGCTGAAGGCATGGTCGAAAAGGAGAGTCTTGAGTCGTGCCTTGAAGGAGGCGAGGGAGGGAGCATGGGGAAGGGACTGTGGGGGGGAGTTCCAAGGGGTGGGGGCAGAGAGTCTGAAAGCCCAGCCGCCGATGGTAGGGCAGGTCTGGCGCGAAACATGGAACAGGCTGGAGCCTGCTGAAATGGATCTTAACTGGATTTTGTGTTCAAGCACCCAGTCGAGATTTGAGCTCACAGTCTAGGCTGTTTGTGGAGCATTGCTGTGCTCAAATTGTGCCTTATTCACCTACAAATACACAGTTGCTGCACTTTACGTTAAAATCCCGTTAAGTGCTTTGAGATGCCTCAAGAAAGTAATAAGGCACCATTATCGAATGCAAACATTTTATAATATTTCCGGATCAGCGAGGTACACACATCTCAGTTCACGACTGGCACTAATCCATTCTGCAAATGTTTTGCCAGATTATGTGGTGGCATCATCTCTATGTTGATTGGGCACTCGGGGTACATGCTAAATACTTGCAGGACAACAGTGGTAAGGGATAGCTGGCCAAACAACCCAATTCTATCCAGCGCCACCCGTAGGCTATAAATCACTTCCTGAACAGCTTTGCTGTTTTATCTTCACTTTTACATAGCTGACGTTATAGAGCAGCTGAAACTTAAAATAAGTGAACAAAATTAATCTGAATTTGTGGCGTGCGCCTGAAGTGGAGATAGGTTGGTGAGAGAGAGCAGATATATTTGTAGTCAGTTATTTCTGAAACCAGCAATCCCTTTCCAAGGCTTGCATTCCTCCAGCTAAAAGTCAGGTCTGCATTTGGTTTGTGACTGAAGCTCTCATATCAATGAGCGAGTGGATAAAAATTGTTATAGGGGAATTCTGTGGATAACTGTATAGGACCTGTTATTGTACAATATAACTTGTGTTTACCTTTCACATTGGGAGTGTGTCTCAAAGTGCTTAACACTGGATAGGAGTAGGAGTTAAACTGGGTGGGGAGGGGAAGGATGACTAACTGTGGTCAAAGAGGTACATCTAATATTTCACTGATCCGCACCACTCCAGGTTGGAGCTGATCAGGACTTTGAGCTCACAATCTATGGGTGGCATTCCAGTGTAGTGCTGGGTGGGGTGTGTGGATGGAGGGTGCATCATCGGAGGTGCTGTTTTTCAGATGAGACTTTAGTCCCATCTGCCTATTCAGATGGATGTTAAGGATGCCATAGCACTATGTGAATGGAGATGGGCGTTTCTCCCGGTGTCCGGGCCAACAGTCCTCAAAGTAAAGTTGGTCATTCACATGTTGGCCTACAAAATGAACTCTTATTACACCAGCAATACATGTTGCATTAAATGCATTCCTTTGCTATTAAACTGGAATTGAATCACAGCTGAAATTGAATGCTCCCTCTTTTTGTTTCACTGCAGGTAAATCATTCGACATTACGTACGTGAGGCTGAAGTTCCACACCAGTCGCCCGGAGAGCTTTGTTATTTACAAACGGACTAGTGAGGATGGCCCTTGGATACCCTATCAGTATTACAGTGGATCGTGCGAGAAAACCTACCAGAAGCTTAACCGAGGCTTTATCCGCACGGGGGAGAATGAGCAGCAGGCGCTGTGCACAGACGAATTCAGTGACATCTCGCCCCTCACCGGAGGAAACGTTGCTTTCTCTACCCTGGAAGGGAGACCCAGTGCTTACAACTTTGATAACAGCCCTGTGCTGCAGGTACAGCAGAAACAAGTATTTCCGTTTAACGGTGGGAACGACTTCTGAATGTTAATGGGAGAAAATGTTGATATAGTCTGACCCCTTTCCCCCATTTCTCTTGCCCCCCCCCCCCCCATATAACACACAAGAGTTTTGGGTCCTTGAGATTAGACACTGAGCAGTGGGGATGGAGAGAGTCTTGATTCTGCATATTTGTTATCGGGTCAGTAACAACAAATTGCATTTGTATAGTGTCTTACATGTTGGGAGGATGTCGCAAGGCGCTCGACAGTCAAGGGTTTGCACCCGAGCTGGGGGTTAGAATCAAGAGAGTTGGAGGGCGGTGGTGGTGGGGGGTTTCGTGGGGGTTGGTAGGATGACCAAAACCACAATCGAAGAGGAAGGTCTTATGACGACTGTGGGGAACTCTTTTCCTCCTGTTTCCAGTGCATACTGGCCAGCTTTACACACCCTTGTGCAGTGTGTGGAAAGCTGCCCTCTTTCGGCTGCGACCACTGGGTCCACCTGCTTGCTGAGCATGAGGACCGCACACCTTTCAAAGTGTTTTTCATCGGTTTAATTTCCGAGTTCCTGACTGCTTTTTTACATTTTTGGAGGGTGGATTGTTCCACCGTGTTGTAAATGTTTTAACAAGCCAAGTTGATGGCTTTTTGCAGAATGCGGCTGATTTCCATCGCTGCGAGCCACCAAATTACTTGCAGTGCACTCGGATACAAAAGTTGAGAGTTTGCACGCATTTGCTCATCAATGTGGTAGTGTTCAAGCTGTTCCAGCAAAGTAGGATCTTCAAGCTTCACTGAATTCCTGAACAGTAAATGAGTTGCCAATGAGTCGCTGGCATTATGTTGCGTGTCGAAATCCCGAACCTTCCAAATCTTTGTGGAGTCCTGTAGCTCAGTGGTTAGAGCACTCGCTTTGCAAGCAAGAGACCTGAGTTCAATTCCAGGCAGGTCAGGGCGAAACCTTGGGCAAGTTTCCTTACTCCACACGCCTAATAATAATCCTCCAAAAAACAAAAACAATAATTAAATTGGTCATTTTCAATCTATGACTGTTTGTGGGACATTGCTGTGCGCAATTGGCTGCCGCGTTCGCCCACAAATATACAGTCAACTCACTTTACAGTATATTCTGTGAAGCGCTTTGGGACGTCCTCCCGACGTGAAAAGCGCTATATCAAATGCAAGGATTATTATTATTATTATTATTATTATTATAAATCCTCTCTCCCAATCTCTTGAACAACCACAAAGTTGCCCGGCGGCGGTGATAAACTTCAACGTGTGTGTATTTTTTTGCTCTTTTGTGTCTTTTATTTTTAAACCTTTGTAATCTTTACATACATGTTCTAACAAGATGTGCGCCGCCTTCATAATAATCCTCGCTCACATTTGATACGGCACCTTTCGTGTCAGGAGGACACCTCAGAGAGCTCCATGATATTCTCTGTAAGGTGCGTTGACTTGCGTGTTTTGTGGGCAAGTGAACACGGCAGTGGATTTTGCGCACAGCGATGTCCTGCGAACAGCCATGATGTGAATGACTAATTTTATTTGGCGGCGGGGGGGTGATTGTTGGCCAGCATACAGGGAGAAACTCCCTTCACTTCACTAACAATGCAGAGCTGAAAAGAGGTTCTGTCAGAATAAATTCCAGCAAAAGGTGGAGGTGGTGGGGTGGCGGGTATAACTATTAAAGGAATTGTGACCTTAACTTTAAAAGCAAAACTTGCCTTGAAAACCAGCTGTTGGACACCGTCCCAGCCTCTCTTTTGTTATGTCCTTGGCTGCTTTTGTAATGCTTGTTTGACTTGCTTCCGGACAGGAAATGGTAACTTGCAGTTTGAAAACTCATGTGGAAAGGAAGCTGTTACCACCTGTGTTGTTTAACTTGTAGGTCATGGAAATCTAAGGCCATTTGTCTTTCATCAAGTTGGAGAAATTGCCTCCTCATCTGTTTGCGATTTATCTGTTTGAGAACCCTTTCATCACTGATTCACACATGTGTCTTAATTGGATGTTGAAGTAGATGTTAAAATGCTACATTACATTATTTAAAAGTACTGCTGAGGTGGCTTCTCAGTGATGTGCTTGGCAACCAAATGTTGGAATTATGTCAACTCTGTAGTCTGATTCCTCAGCCAGGTGAGTGTGCAGTAGTCCAGGGAACTGCTGACGACAGACCATCCAGCCTGGCTCATTGGCAGGACTTGGAAGGGGTAGACCAGTCACTGAGGGCACGGATTCTTCCCACGCAGCTGCTATTGACCCTGCAATCACATGGTGCTTCCAATGGCAAACTAAGCAATTTCAGCTGGTTAAACTCTTGGAGATCTCAACACACACTTTGGGCAGGTTTTTGCTGCCTAGTACTTTCAGGAAAGAGTGCTGATAGCATTGTAGACTCGCAGAAATTTCAAAAGTATAGGTTGCATATACATGTGGAACTCTATCTGGTGTGGGTTATCTTAACCATAGAGGTGGGTTTCCATTTGTGTCAAACAACCAACTGACTAAGAAACAATTTTGTTCGGCAATGATATCTTGGTAAAGTGGCAGCTAATTGATTTCATGCTGTTGCAGTGAGGCTGACACTGACTGGCTCACTCCCCATAGTCTTCCTGCTCACATCTGAGGTCAGCTCTCTTCTGCAATTATCACAAAAGGAATGGATTTACAAAGTACATTGTGTGGTTGTTACACTAAATGCCCAAGAGACATGTGTTTTGCAACCTTCTGTGTCCAGATGTTGTTCAACACTCAAGTCTTGCTCTTTGACATCCGAGTTCTTTCCGTTAATGCATCTGTGTGTAACCTACTGGAGTCTGCACTAATGAGATCAAATTGGACTGATTATTTTAAATATTGTTGATAATATTTAATAATAATCATTGCATTTGATATAGCACCTTCCATGTCAGGAGGAATTGCCAAAGTACTTCACGAGATTCACTATGAAGTAGAGGGACTGTATATTTGTAGACGAACCTGACAGCCCGATTGCGCACAGCAACATCCCAGAAACAGCCGTGAAACAAATGGCCAATCTTTTTATATATGCCATTGAATAACATTTTTCGCCAATAAATTCAAAGGCAAACGGTCCAAAGATTGCTTGATAGAGCATTCAGGCCAAAGGAAAGCACAATCACCTGAATGTTAAAAGCAGTTTGCCGCAGAGACTGCCATTTACCCGTTTTCCTCAAAAACAGGCTTTTTGTTTTTGATCAGGGTATTCTGCAATGTGAATCCGATTGATAAGTGGGTCTTGATCATGTTTTGAGTCCGGAGCCAGCTGCCCATTTGTTCTGTGGTCTGTTACCTTTTTGCTGCTCTCGAATTGACTGGAAAATTGGAGTATTTTTCACCATTTATAAAAAATGTTATGCTTCCAAATGGCTTGTCCTTGAGCGATCCACAACTGAGGTTGAGATGACTGAGGAAATGGGCAGTGGAATTTTTTTTGAAAATTGCTTAAAACCACATGCAGTGGTTTTTTTTGTGCCAATAGCTTTGTAAAATCAGGGCATTAAATTCAGTTCAAGACATGGGTAAGTTATCAGCCCTTTATTCCCGCTGTCAAAAACTCTGGAACGGTGTGGTTTTGCCCTGCTGTTAATTGATGTGCTTCATTCACAATCTGGGTGCCTTATCCAGTAAGTGACTGAAAACAGACTGACTAAAGAGCATAGTATAAGGAAACTTTGTATTTATTATTTAATTCATTAAGAAATAATGCCAGCTACCAGCTGGGTGTTGCTCTGTTGCTTCCTCTTCCTTGAATGGGTCCTAGACACTCTTCTTTTCGAACAATGTCATGGGACCCTTTGACATCCACCTGAACAGCTTCTGTTGAACAGCTCATCTGAAGGATGGCACCTTTAACTGTGCAGTATTCCCTCTAGCCCTGTATTGAAGTGTCAGTCTGTATGAGCTCAGGCCCGATGTGGAGACTTGAACCCACAAGTGTCTGACTCAGAGGAGAGTCTACTGACCGAGCCAGGCAGACACACACTTTTGCTTAATTGTAGCTAAAACAGTTGCATTGTTTTGTGTGTGAAGCTAACGGTTATTATAACTTATCTGTCACTGGACCACATTCGTGCCAGACAGTCCGCCTCCACACTGAACTCTATAACTGGCACATGACCACATCATGGAGGAGGAAGTATATCACTGAGCTGCCTCCAGTGGCATGTCCGGCCAAAGCAATTGTATTGTCTACCTTTAGAGCACGTGATGTTTTCAACTATTGTTTTGCTCAGGATAGATAGGCATTCAACCCGAGTTCTTGGAAAAATAAATCTCCAGTGAGAAGCTCGCTTTCCTTTTGGGCACCTGAATTCCGAGGCTGCCAACATTTGGTTTATTTTCCAGGAATCTGATTCCCATAATGTGTTCTCCATTTGGTAGACACCTCTCCGCCACCCCAACAAAGACTCAGCATAGCAGAGCATTTTTTTTAATGTCTCCACATTTTTGTTTTCTAATTTTCTCCCCCACTGGCGTATGCCTCTCAACCCCTGGCCTCGCTTCCTCTAACTTGGGTTCTGTTTCACGAATGCTGGTTACCCTCTGATACACCCCACGTCCCATTGATCATTAACATAACATGTAGGAGCAGGAGTAGGCCATTCGGCCCTTCAAACCTGCCCCGCCATTCAATCATGGCTGATCTTCTAATCTAACTCCAGCTGATAACTGACCCTGCCTTATCCCCATATCCCTTAATCCCTTTTGCAATAAGAAATCTATCTCAGTCTTGACACATTATTCATGTGAGCCTTGGTAAGCCACTCAACTTCAGAGAGCATCAATACCGAGCCTGACCCCCCTCCCCACACATGCATAAACCGGTTGAGGGTAATATAAAGGGACCAGGAGCAAAAACCCGTTTTTCCTTCCCTAACTCCGGCAAACCCAGAGCATGTTGAGATTGGTCAAGCAATGCTGTCCGATACCATCAAACCCAGTACAGATCAGGATTCAAACCAGCGA